TTTATTTTCGTGTGCTCCTGCACACGTTCAAAAGTATCACGTTCTGCAAAGAAGAAAGAAGCAGAGAGAAATGTATTCATTATTTAACATTCCGCGGAGTCCGTAAAATTCTCTATCTAATGAGCTATAATTCGTTTTTAGAGATGCGACTTTATTGAAGTGAAGTAGAATTAACTAATCATTGAAGCAAGAATAGAACGAACATTTTGGCTCATTCTTTTTATAGAGGACAATCTTCATACATTTTTCTTTATGATTAAATGAAAGACTATTGAACTGGAAGTTTTTTGAAAAAAAGCTCCACAGTTCAAAAATTCACCTAATTGAACAGATAACATCGTTTCATACTGAAGTAGAAATTTTTTTTGATCAGCAGTAACCTCATTGTAATGCTCAGATATTTCACTCTAAAAAGAAATCCGACTTATTCTGTCGGTGTTACTGCTGCATTATTTCAGGTTTTGTTCTTCCATCGTATTCGAAAACAGACGAATCTATCAGTCTTATTTGTAAGACCGAAGAAAAAGTCTTACTTTTATCATGTAAGGGACGAGAAATCATAGATCCTTTTTGTTTCGCATCAAGAACAGAAAATTTACACTAGAAAGTTTTCCTTTTTCTCTTATAAAATACTGACAATAGCTAGGCCGAAAGTATTGGCCCATTCTCATGAGATTAGATCGTGCATGGTCTTATTTTAAAATTCGAAGTGTTATAGAAAGTAAGACAGGTAAATGTATCGATCTTAAAACAAGACACTATAAGTCGGTTGACGATTATTGGTTGGTTTAAGAGGCGACTTTCAACATTTTGTACCATATCACCCCAAAGGCTTCAGGGTATAGTTTTGGGAGCCATTAGGTAACTCGGTAAACTGCGTCGAATGACCGTCTTAGTTTTTAGTTACGCTTGCTCAATTGTTCTGTATAGAAAATCACCTTTGTTTTGGTATCCTTAGTTAATATTTTTGCTATAAGTGAAGCAATAATTGATACTAACTTTTACTTTTATTTTTGTTCGGTAGATTAATAAATTCTTCATCGATCTGTGACATGACTTTTCAAAATCGTTGATTCCTTAATTATTTTTTTCTGGAACATGAGCGCAATAGGGAGCAAAATTTGAAAAATCTATAACTTTAAAAGTATGAGATTTCAGTGTTTAACCGTTTCACAGCTGGGTGGATAATGAAATTGTCTACAAATTTTCAAGTCGAAAGTCGAAAATATTTGACGAATGTAAATACTGAAAAATCCGGTTGTAGTTGGAAAACGTACTTTATTTTGGTACCTGAAGCCTCGTGGTTACGGTAGTAGAAGGGGAAAAGTATTTGTTGAAAGTCGCCTAGTGTGGTGTATTAAATTTTACTACAAAATAATTGAATACGTTAGTTCTCTCATATGCGACGTTTTAATCTACTTAGCAAAACTACAATGTCTAAGTTGTATTTTAAGAGAGAGTCTGAGGTGCTATCAAAAAGGTTCATAACATGTTAGAAAAATAAACTTCTTTGAACTATGCTCATACGTTTCTTCGTCCAGGGTTAACTATTCGAATTTTTAGACTTAAAAGACAAGTTACCTGTCTCAAATTTTATATTTTTTAAGAAGTGGAGTCAAAGACTTTCTTATCCACATCATAAAATAGTTGTCTATAGTTCCATACTATTCAATCATCCTTTTCCGAGAAAACCTTAAGATCATCGAGCATTTTTTGTCTGAACTAATGTTTGAAAATACTTACTTCGTGAGATTTGCTGCGTAAGATTCGCTGTGTAGGTATTTTATTTGTTACAGGTATTTTTATTCCGAACTCCGGCGGAATTTCTTTCAAAAACCTAAAAGTTTCACAATATACATAACTTGACATATTCTACAAAATGGACGGGGAACGTTTTTAATTGTTGATTCATTATGCTTTTCTTGGGAAAATGTTCCTTGTTTTTGGGGATATGGAACAGAACGGAGACAATGATGCTTTTCAAAAATAAATAAAGAAGAGATAAATTCCAGATTGGGTTTACTTCGTTCTACAAAAAAAATTCAGCTTTTAAGAGAAGATAAGAAGAGCATAATTAATGAAATTCATAATACGTCAGAAAAATAGACTTCTATGAAGTATACTCTTTTGATTCTTCGTCAAGGATTACTTATCCGAATTTTAGATCTTAGAAACGGTCCTGTCTCAAGTTTTATCTTATTTTTTTAAGAAATTGAGTCACTGATTTTGTTTGTTGATTGTTGTTTTAATCTGATTATTCTCGTGTCTTCTTTTTATTTTTTAGCTTTGAAGTATATATCCGGGTCGAGGAACTGCAAAGCACCGCAGAAAGTGTAATAATGTATAGAATTTTTGCACTAACTGATAATAATGGGCAAATAACATAGAATTGTTGTTGTTGTTACAATATATAAGCATTGAATATAAGATGGCTTGCTTTTACATTTGCACTGTTAGCCACAATAACAGGCTGTACGTTTTCTTGTCTTTTTCTTCATCATTATAATAAATTTCTGTTTCTGCTAGACATTGCCATCTTAAATTTAGCTCATTGTTCTTGTGCTAGGTAGCTGTACTTGTCTTGATTTCTTTAATTTCTTAATTCTTCTTTATAAATATTTTGCGTAACCGATAACTTCAAATCTGCTAGTCTATTATCATTCTTTGTTCATGTTACATTATGTCTGATTCTTAATTGTTTTGCTGTATCTGTACTTCATTAAGTAAATATTTTTTAATGTAGTCCTGTATATCCAAACGATTTAGATCTATCAACAATTGATCACTCCACAATATAGTTGTCAAAATAGGGATGTGAAAGCGCTTGAGCAGCTGACAGACACTTATGAGTCATTGCACGAGAAAGACACCTGTTTCTCAGAGAAGTCTGCTCAATGACTATTTCAAATTTTTTTCTAAGTGGCCTCATCTTGGAGAGCATGGTGGAAAACCTATACATCCAAATTTGTAGCCTTCCCGAACTTTTCATTCTGTAGATATGGAATTTTTTCGACTGGAGTAAAGTTTGAGAAGTTATGCGTGTCAAAAACGTACATTTCGTTTTTCTCGTGAACGAGAAGAGATGGAACCGCGAGTTTTTCAGGATAGGTAGCACTTGATGTCTAGCATATAATGATAAAAAACATTAAAATATGACAAACTAAAAAGATAATGAAAACTTTTGTGCTTTCGCTCTTATCGTACGGAGCATACTACAAAAGTATGAAGTTTTCTCTTCGTCAACTTTCTCAGAGTTCAAGGCACACTTATTGTACTTTTAGACGATTTTTCTAATTTAAGATGAGAAGAGACAGTTGCCGTATGACATGAATAACTAAATGGAAGAAGTAAATAAAAGCCTCACTGTTAGCACAAACATCACTATAGGTCAATTCCATCCGCTAACAGGGAACCAAATAACACTCTCTACTTATTGGTGCTATTCCAATTAATTATACTTGATAGTAGATATACGTCTCAAATTCGATTGTGTGGTACCGGAATAAATGACACTGGTAGAGCGTGTCATTCGACCAGATCCCCCTACCAAATCTCATGCTGACTCAAGGAAATTTTCAGGAAAGGCTCAACAGGCGCCATATATTATTGATCAGGTCGAAAAAGCGGTCCAGCAAAACATTGATACTCTGAGGTTTTCAAGAAGGTTTCTGGAAAACCTTAAGCCAATGCTCGGCTGAAAGTCACCTTTTTCGTCTTTGAATATGCTTTATGAGCTGTCCTCAGCGTTTCTGAAAAGTTCCGTGAGTCAGCATGAGATCTGATCGACATATAAGGATTTTAATTTTTGCTAGTAACAGGCGAAAAACCGGTTTTTCACAAAAATGCCTCTGACGAAGTTATTTTCATTTCTACACAAAAGCAAATGTTGCCACTATGCTCAACGTAGGCGATTATTTATATTCCATGGCATTTCCAGATTCCCAGAGATGTCTGCTCGTAGATAGACACGTGCTCGGGAAAGCAAGCCCTGTCCAAACAACAATAGCTGGAGAGCCAGGACTTACATAATTTTGTAGAGTAGCGTCCGGACTATCTACGCATGCAAAAGGATTATTAACATTGTATGTCAGTTTTCTGAGAACGGAGCTAGTTTTCCAAAGATCCTCTGGAAACCAGATCTTTGAAATTTTTTCAAAAGTTGTTTCGGCTTGTGAAAAGTTTTGCACAAGTCTTGGGTATCGCACAGCGAAAAACGCAGATCTCTATCTCATTCCTATCAAAAGTTATTCGCGAAATAGTCAGGGACACTGCTTTTTGGTACGGATAGTAGTGATTACAGTCACAGATATCTAGTTTCGCATGAAAATATGTTTTTTTACGTGAAATTACTTTTCAAACTGACTCTCACAATGCGTTCACTACCAGAACGCGAAGAGAGATATTTAATCGTTTTTTTACATATGCATGGCACGTCTTTCGACGCGTAAGAGGAAAAATAACGGCATTCAAGAGGTTAAGTCAAAATATCTTTTTTTTAGTGATATTCAAAATAGATATTTAGAAAGTTCACTACATGGACTGGAAATGTTGGTAAAGAAATACGAAAATTCTTCAGACAAAAAACAAGTTTTCTTTCATAGGTGGCACTAGGAAATATCGCGTTTTAGTCACATTTAAGTCATATTCCAACATGAAATAAGATCAATGCTAATATTTTTAGAAGTGAATACTATTCACTTCTAAAAATATTAGCATTGATCTTATTCTTAGTCAGGACTGGATGATCCAGTCCTGACTAGCAAAATAACTGTTTAGTGAACGGTTTTTATAAGGTTGAACAGCGATCCGATTCGCTTTTGCATATTTCTCTGTGTAATACGAATAATAATGATTCATTATTATTTGTTCTTTCTACCAGTATTTTAGTTATTACTCAACATCACATTTCCTCACATGACGCATAATGATCATGATGACCGTTAAAACTAAATAGCTACCTCTTTTTTTTCTTTCTTCTTTTACACATGCACAACAACAGAATGGGACACATGGGAATTACATTAATGGAAGATCAGCCAAATGAAGTATTTTTAGAATACTTTCAATATTTATCAGTCATCGATCTCCATCTTGGATTCTACAATTTAAATTCGCGAATCGATTCCATCTTATATAGTTTTCGTATAACGGTTGATTTAAGATCAACAACAGAAGCATATTATAATTTGATAACTCAAACAATCTTTCCATTATTTTATCAACAAATTTTACATCTCTATCTCCGTTCACAAGATATTGAAATTGAACAATTTCAAAATTTGCGTTTGTTAGAGATCTGTCATCCATCCAATGCACAAACAAATGTTATAAGACCTGAAATATTTCCATATTTACACACATTAGTTATTCATCATTTATCATCAAAAAAAATTGATAAAATTTGCCAGCTAGTTTTAGAAAATGGATTTTGTCAATTAAGAAATTGTCGGTTGCCATATATTGAATATGCAAAACTACCAATTCATTGTCAGTTACACGAATTAATGTTAAATCGATGCACAAAAACAATGCTTTCCGTTCTTTTGACAAATCTGTCAAAATTAAAGAGTTTAAATGTCGAAATCCACCCTGACGACTCTAAATCAGCATTTCTAATTGAAAAAAATGTAACAGGGCTAACCGGTTTAGCTCTAAATTCAAACCAGTGCATGTCATTCGATGAATTAGAACACCTGCTAGCACATACACTGAATTTAAAATCTCTTGCATTTTCAACAAAAAATCAACAAGAATATTTAGATTTCGGCAGATGGAAATTTATCTTATCAAACTTTACACCACATCTGTTAAAGTTTCATTATGATTTATTAATTAATCGATATCCATGTAAAATATCAGAAACGACTGATATCGATCGAATACAAAATATGCACTGGTTATTTCAAAATGTTACTTATACAGAACATCGCAGTTATGAGTCTTATTCGTGGGCATATGATTTTCATCTTTATACAGCAAAGAAAAACATAAATTGGACCATTAATTAAACCACTTCATGAAATTACATGAAACTTCAATGAAACAGGTGGAGTGATCCCTTTCATGGAAGTGGACACTCCACGTGTTTCACTGAAGTGAAATACGTCTTTTTTCACGATGAAAGTGATACCTTTTCCCCGTGGAAGTAGCATTCTTACTATGTTATTCGCTAATTTTGAAAACTAGAAACGTACGTTGGAACGTGTGCAAATAGTCAAACGCATTAGAATGGGGGAAAGCGGCAGAAAATTACGTTCTAACGTGTTGCAACGCGGTGAGATCGGTCAAATCAACTTGTTCCAGTTAAAATTCCAGCAAACTTAATCAATCTTTCTGAACAGGTTGGAACCTGCCCTGTACCGTACCCGTCCAAATGCGTTAGGGTAAGAAACGGGGTGGGACAAATTCATTTGCCCGATCGCACCGCGTTACAACGCCTTAGATTCATTATTTTATAGCTCACTTCTTGAGTCATTTTTCTCTCCTATAGGCAGTCTCTTTCACCCATTCAACATCTGTCACCATATCTGACTTTACCTTGGTCAAAGAGGCAGAAATCGTACTGTTTTTCTATTTCTAATCAAGCACAAAAACTATCTTCCGTAAAGCAAGATATAACGATGAGAAAAATAGTACGATTTCTGACTTTTCGACTAAGCTAAAATCAGATGTGGTGAGAGATGTTGAATGGGTGGAAGAGACGACATGTAGAAGAAGAGAGATCCGTCAGATCGATTATAAAACCTCTGTTACCGTACATAATCTTACATTCATCTCATATTAAAAGCAATAGATCATAAAAATCATGCCCGTGGCTTATTAGAGAACAGCTGTACGAACTGGAGATATACTGTCCGTGCAAAAGCTCCTCTATGAGGCACTGGAAAAACATGAAGAACAGTGCAATATTCCATGTAGAGACTGGTGCAAAAGATGTTTTTAAGAAAGCAAGAGTATGATGAAGTGATCCAATACTTAAACGAGCAAAGTGAGGTTCATTAGATCTGTCCTCACATTTAGGTATACTATGTCCAATTTCACCATACACTTCAGTATTTTTAATTCCATCAACTTGAGTCTAAATCTCGTGTAATTTGTAACCAAGCGAAGTGCAGGAGAAAGCTGATTCCACAACTTACAAGTTTTTATGATGAAAGAGTTTTCGTATATCATCAATCCAAGGCGCTGAACTGGAATTTGTTGACTACCTGTACTTCTACTCCTTAGTGAATAGGTATGTGATGTAGTATCAGTTAGAATGAGAGACTAAAGTTCTTCTTGGTTCTCATAAAAATAATCTAAAGAAAAACATCTACCCCTTTAATTTTTGAATAAACAAGCTCTCTACAAAATGAGCTTTCCCCGAGCTCTCTACGATGTTTTTTGGTTGAACCTTATCAAATTTACGAAAAGTCCAAAATAGGACTTTTTCAAGTCATTCAATTTTTGTGATTTTCCGAAAGTCATCCATCCATTTTGTAATTCATCCTTTTTGGAGACCAACCAACGAAATAAAGCACTTTTTGCCAATCGATAGCTTATGGAATTCGCTACAAGACATCGCCCCAAGTTTTTAAACTGCATGTTTTCTTACTTTTTTGCCATCGATCTACAAATGGTCACTCCAGTGACCAAGGGAGAGTGGGGGTAAAGGATTAAACTTAATTGTATATAAATTGAAATATATGAGAAAAGAACATAAAAGAAAGAGAGAAGGACGCCAATTCGAAACTTAACGAGAGATCGATACCGCGATCGTAAGGTGCCGGTAATTCAAAATTTCAGCACTCTTCATTTTTCCCTTAAAAGTACACCATTCGACGCAGAATTTTGTGTTGATCACGAATATCTCCTTTTTAGTTCAATTTTATTAAGTTTTAGGGGGGGGGGGGGGAAAGGGGAAATACGGGGGGGCGGGCAAAACCGGGGAAACCCCTA